GCCCCTGCGTGAGGAGGAGGAGGAGGAGGAGGAGGAGGAGGAGGAGGAGGACGACCAATGTAAACCCAAGAGTCATCAATGATGTTGGAAGAAACCGTCCCTCCAAGCTCCTTTCACAGGCCTCTAGAACGGTTCATTTCCATTGAGGGAACTGGCCACTGGAAGACAACAGTTCGAAGACCCTGAGGCATGCCCACACATTGTTCTCGGGATTCCAACGCCGCGAATCAACGTGACTACTGCGTTTTGACGATTCTGAATCGTGCCAGAACGCCATTCCTGGGTCGTCAACACCGCGAAATTAGTTTTTGCACCCTCATAATCCTGAGTCGTTCCAAGACACCAATTCGGGTACGTGGGTCGCGGAAGCCGCAAAACCCCGGCAAAGTTTTAACACGAATGTTCGCGGCGCTAAGGAGAGAACCAACTACTGGCCCTCAATCCGCGAAGCTCTTGAACGAGTGTACGCGGCGCTAAGGCGAGAACCACATTTTGAAAACGTGCCGCCCTCAAACCGTGAAGCTCTTGCATATTTCACAACGAATTCGCGCGGCGTTAAGGCGAACACCACATTTTGAAAACGTGCCGCCCTCAAATTATGACGCCGCTGTGAATGTTCAGAACGAATTTGCGCGGCGCCAATGCGGGAAACACATTTTGGAAACGTGACGTCCTCCGTCTGTGAAACTGTTTGGAATGTTTCAGCTTCAGGGTCGTAAGTGGTGCGGAAGTCTCAGGCGATTCGCCCGGCCCGCCCTAAAACAATGTTTCGGGGTGCGTCAGGGAAATTTTTGTTAGACGGAGAAGAAATGGAGGAGGAGTGGGAGGAGGAGGAGGAGGAGGAGGAGGAGGAGGAGGAGGAGGAGGAGGAGGAGGAGGAGGAGGAGGAGGAGGGTCCTTGGGAAAAATCCAAACAGCGAGCGGCCGAGGGTCGCCGCAGGGCGGGTGGGAAGGCCACCGTGCATGGGCGCGTTCCCCCGGCCTCCCGTCCACCCCCCCTCTTGCCGAGCCCTCCACCCCGTCGCGGGGAGGGGGTGGGGCTTTCGATGGGGGTCGCCTCACAAGTATGATTTGTAAAAGTCTCCCGCGAATCGTATTTTTGAGAGCACATCTTTCAAACATGCGATCGGGCAGTTGTACTTTTGAGCGGAGGGGGGGGGGGAACTCAAAAATACGATTTGGGGCCAGTGGCCGAGGACCTTGGAAACGCAGGGGGCGCACGTCGCCGCGCGGTCGCGTCGGCGAGCCCAGCTGCTGCGCACCCAGAAGTGCGTCCCAAGAGTACGCTCAAAGGCCCAACTTGTTCATAGGAGGATGAGGAGGAGGCTGAGGAGGAGGAGGAGGAGGAGGAGGAGGAGGAGGAGGAGGAGGAGGAAGAGAGAGGAGGGAGCAGGAGAGGAGGAGGAGGAGGAGGGAGGAGGCGGAGGCGGGGGCGGAAGCGGAGGCGGAGGCGGAGGCGGAGGCGGGGGCGGAGGCGGAGGCGGAGGCGGAGCGGAGGCGGAGGCGGCGGCGGAGGAGGAGGAGGCGGAGGCGGAGGCGGGGGCGGAGGCGGAGGCGGGGGCGGAGGCGGAGGCGGAGGCGGAGGCGGAGGCGGAGGCGGGGGCGGGGGCGGAGGCGGAGGCGTAGGCGGAGGCGGAGGCGGAGGCGGAGGCGGAGGTTGAGGCGGAGGCGGAGGCGAAGGCGGAGGCGGAGGCGGAAGAGGAGGAGGAGGAGGAGGAGGAGGATGACAAGGAGGAGGAGGAGGAGGAAGAGGATGAGGATGAGGAGGAGGAAATGGAGGAGGAGGAGGCGGAGGAGGAGGAGGACCAGTGGAAACCCAAGAGTCACCAACGATGTTGAAATTAAACCTTCCTCCAAGTTCCCTCATCATAGGCCCCTACAGCGGTTAACTTCCATTGAGGGAACTGCCTCGTTGGAAGACAACAATTTGAAAATCCTGAAACGTGGGAAAACATTTGTTCTCGTCATTTTAACGCCACGTATGAACCTAACTGTTGCGGCTTGACGATCCAACATCGCATCATAACGCCACTTTTTGGACTTCAACACCGCGAATCAACATCACTGTTTCGCCCGCATAGACCAGAATCCTTCCAAAGCGAAATTCCTAGTCGAATGTGCGCGGCGCTGGGGCGAGAGCCACATTTTAAAAAGGAACCGCCTTCAATCCGCGAAACTCTTGCAAGTGTTTAAAAGGAATGTGCGCGGCGCTAACGCGAGAGCCATCTTTTGAAAACCACCCGCTCTCACTCTGTGAATATGTTGCAATGTTCTAGAACGAATGTGCGCGGCGCCAGGGCGAGAGCCACATTTTGAAACCACCCGCCTTCAATCCGTGAAAGCTCGTGCAATTTTTCAAAACGAATGCGCGGTGCTAAGGCGAGAGCCATATTTTGAAAACCACCCGCCCTCCATCTGTGAAGCTGTTGTCACTTCTTAAGCTTCAGAGTCATAAGTGCTGAGGAAGTCTTAGGCGAAACGCCCTGCCCGCCCTAAGAGCTGGCCTCGGGGTGCGACAGGGAGGAGTTATTTATAAGGAGAAGGAATGGAGGAGGAGAGGTCCTGCACAAAGCTGCTTCACTAAGCGTACCCCGCCATCCTTTTCAAAAAACAATGCAACGTGCTCACAGGGCGTCACCGTCTGTGCAGATTTTGCTGCAATGTGCGCTTCGTATTGTTTTTTGACAGGGATTGTGGAGGGTGTTGGCAGGGTGGGCCCCGCAATGTGCATTTTGTGTTGTTTTTTGACAGGGATGGTGGGGGGGGTGCCCGCATGGTTCTGGGCTGGCTGAAGGCCAGGTCGGGCAGGGTTTTTTCATTAATAGGGAACAGTGATAAACCCTTCCACGAAGGGGAAGAGGAGTTTTGGAAGAGGAACAACAAATCATCGCTAGACCACCTGCGCTCAGAGTGCTGGTGGGACATAAACACCACCAACCGCAACTTGATCTCATTCTCGTCTTACCGGTGCCACATCGCCGATACATCGGCGATGCGGCGCCATTTGGTGCCTGGTGTTCTCCATCTGGGCGTCGCCGACGCATCCTCCAGCCGGCACGGTCCTCCGACTCCGTCTGCCCCTGCCCCGCTTGGGGAGGCCTCCAGGAGCTGCGGTCGCTGTCGCTCTGGTCTGAGGGGCACGTGTGGGTCTGCCCCGAGATGCACGGCTGCGTCACGGGCGCCTTCAAGAACCAGATCGACTGGCTGCCCCTCAACACGGGCTCCGTCCGCCCGACGCAGGGCCGCACGTGCGCGGTGCTGCAGGTGAACGGCGGCAGCCAGTCCTTCAATGTCGTCAACGAGCTCCGGCGGCTGGCGAGGTGGATGCGGATGCCATGCTCCACCAACCAGTCCTCGGTGGCCAAGGCGTGGCAGGAGTTCGACGACGACGGCCGGATGAAGCCGTCGGGGTTCCGCGACAGGGTGGTGGATGTCATGGAAGAGTACTATGCCGGGTGTTGGCAGACATGCCCCTGACCCATGGTGTCAACAACTCCCAGATCGCTTGGGAGTCTCGGGGGGTCCCGGGCGAGCAGGACCTCCAGGGGCGCGCGGGTGGGTGTCCTGGGCTCCCCCCAGGCTTTGGATTGGCAGCGAAGGGTGGCCAGCCCAGCCTCGGGCCAGCGCCCAAGATGTCGGCCAGGGTCTGGCCGTGGGCGACAAGCATATCCGCATCCACGGTTTCGCGGGCCGGGCCCCTGGGCCGCGACCCCGAGTATATGGGTCGCGTTTCCGCGGATGCATGCCTCGCGCGGAACGTATCCGTGCGACTGCGTCTCCGCGGGATCGCGCCCCAGACTCCAGACCGCGAGGGCGCGGATGCGGGTATGCTCGCCGCCCATGGTCTGGGCCCACACGTGGCCCACGCGTGGGCCCTTGGGCCGCATCATGGGACTAGACCTGAGCCCACGCGTATTCCACAGGTCCTGGGCTCTGACCTCTGGACCGAGGCGGCCCGACCTCTCTGGCCAGGGCCGCCTGCAGCCGACACCCGCGCCGTAAGTTCACCGTGATCATGCGCGAGCACGCGGACTTCCTGGTGGACCGCTACTCGGAGCGCAAGGAGGTCCGCAGAACAGCAAGCGGCATGAACACTCCATTCTCCTCCTCCTCCTCCTCCTCCTCCTCCTCCTTATCCTCCTCCCCCTCCTCCTCGCTTCTCCTCGCTTCTCCTCCTCCTCCTCCTCCTCCTCCTCCTCCTCCTCCTCCTCCTCCTCCTCCAGGTTTCGCAAGATACACCGACTACGGAACACCGCACAGCAGGCCCGAATCTCAGCTGGACTGTGGCGCACTGGTGCCCTCCCAGAAGGAGTATTCGGTCATCAGGTTCACGGCCTCGCTCGGCACGCTCTACTACGCTGGCGGCGTCAGGCCGCCATTGCAGCCACGGGCGCTGCCGCAGGCCGATGCCTCACCTCCCTCCTCGGCGCCACTTTTGACGGCATGGACCCAGGAGTTTCCCTAAGGATCGAGTTCATCGAGGCTTGGCTTCAGCACTGGATACGCCACCCGAGCACGCACGCCAGGATCATCAGAGCCTGGCCAAGGATCAAGACCACCTTGCTCGCCGCTGGCCCCAAGCTGTGGTGTAAGGTCAAGGGCCCCACAGGCGCGGCCATCGCGACCCTGCTGGAGGCTAGTTGGGAGCCGACCTCAGCTACCAAGTGGAGGCGTACGAAGGACGGCTACATCGAGGAGTGGAACCTCCCCCTGCCGACGACCCCGACCTCCTCGACGCCGACATTCACACAGTATTGCAGGACCTCAGCGAGGATTTACACAGGCTCCTCTGGACGCAGGCCGCTACGCATGCCCATGGAGACACGCTGGCTGGAGGCGCAGACATGGTCACTATCCGCATTGAACAAAGGAGGTTCCTCGTAAACGGCGACTTCAGCGACTGGGCCCTCAACAACACCATCATCAGCGGAGGACAGTGGACCAGAGACCGCCTCCACAACGCGGGCTACCAGATCGACAGGAACTGCGACCGCTGCAGCGCTGGAGTTCCTGAAACCTTGTTTCACCGAATGTGGCAGTGCGAGGCGAACGTTGGACCCGAGTTTGAGGCCAGCGACAAGCTACTGCCGCGAGCCTTGGCGGGGGCCGACGCCGACCCCGCCTTGTGGCTCCGTGGCATTCCCTCTGTTGCTCTCACTACGCCCACGTTCGAGCCATTGACTGGGAGGGACGGGTGGGAGTTTGTTGGTGCGGTGCGGGAGGGTTTGCCGTCCTGGGAAGGTGCTCGTAACGCAGAGGGTGAGTTGTTTCTTTTTGGTGACGGGTCTGGCGGTGCCTTTTCTGACGACGTCAGGCGACGTCGCGTCGGATCTGGCCTCGCGGCCCTCCGTTGGAACCCTCCCTCGGCCTCCTGGACCCTCCACGCGGGCCTCCTTGCCCCCCTCCCAGGCCCCCGCCAGACCGTCCCAAGAGGAGAATTATATGCGTTTTGCCTGGCACTAGAGACGTGCCATCAGGATTTCACGTTTGTTACCGATCACCTAGCCTTGCAGCGTGGTTGGCAGAATGGCAGATGTCTCAGGCCAGGCAGCCTCAGAGGTAAGAATAAGAATGGAGATCTCTGGCTGAGAATTCGGCATCTCGTGCAGGATCGACCTTGCGGCGTCTCCTCGGTCACGGTGCTCTGGACCCCATCTCATGCCGATCCCCAGACTCTTCACGGTTTTCAGAAATTCCTAGCTCTCGGCAATCAGCAAGCCGATGAGCTTGCGGGAAGCGCGGCCCACAAGTCGGCCACCCTTGCCCTCCCGCCTGTGCCCAGGACTGACGAATACGATGCTATCGCAGTGATTGTCCGACAGCGGGCACGACTAATCCTACGTTCCTTAGGAAAGAATTCAGAGCCTCGAGGACTGTGGCCAGAGAGGCAACCCACGCAGGAGGCAGCCCCTCGTTCTCTGTTGCAGACCGCGATCGCGGCTTCACAGCACAAATTCGAGCGGTGTGCAGACAAATGGCGATGCTCTGCCTGCCTCATCATCGTCGATGCTTGCCAGGTTATTCCAGCCGCCGCCACGGAGTGTGTACCGCCTTGCCCCCTTCCCGAGTTTGCTGCGTGTGGCGAGGTGCTGTGGTCGAGGGGTCCCCGTGTGATCAGTGGCAAGGCGATACACCCCTCCCACACGTTGGCCACCATCCCCAAGTGGCAAATGTTCTTCTGCGTGAAGTGCGGCCATACGGCCACACACCAGGTCAAAAGCTTACAGTTCCCTTGCCCTCTCACCCACCAAGTGGGAGAGCGCAGGGCCCTGGGACCCACTGGCAAAGGCCTCGAAAACCTCAGCAGGATCAGGCGAGGCCTCCATCCGTCCAGATCGGGTCCCAGCAAGTCTGTTCTAGAGGCTATGCATGTTTCGGCAGCCGAAGCCGCGATCGTTTCTCACGCGGCTGGCGCTGCCTCTGAGTAAATTGTGAGGCCAGGGGGGCCTGTCGCGGTGTGCCGTGGGATGTCGCCCCCCACGGCTCTCCGAGAAATTCTGGATGGCCCCCCTGGCGTCTCTGGGTTCCCGAACGGACTACGTCCGATTGCTCCACTCCACTCCTCCTCCTCCTCCTCCTCCTCCTCCTCCTCCTCTTCCTCCTCCTCCTCCTCCTCCTCCTCCTCCTCCTCCTCCTCTAGGGGAGCGCAGAGCTACAGAAGCAGAACAACTCGGAGGTCCGCGCGGATTTCTCGGCTCGTCGCCGGGCCCCCTGGGCGGCGCCTCTGGCGCCGACCCTGGCGCGCTCCACGCGTCCGTCGCCGATCGCTGGAACTCTGACGTCTCGGTTTCTTCCGTGCGGGGGCCCCGGACGTCTCGACCCTTTCCCCTCCTCCTCCTCCTCCTTCCTCCTCCTCCTTCCTCCTCCTCCTCCCTCCTCCTCCTCCTCCTCCCTCCTCCCTCCTCCTCCTCCTCCTCCCTCCTCCTCCTCCTCCTCCTCCCCTCCTCCCTCCTCCTCCTCCTTCCTCCTCCTCCTCCTCCTCCTCCTCCCCCTCGATCCTCCTCCTCCTCGATCCTCCTCCTCCTCCTCCTCCTCCTCGATCCTCCTCCTCCTCCTCCTCCTCTTCCTCCTCCCTCCGAGTCATTTTCGGACGAGCCAGAAGCCCGACGAGGGGTTCCAGAGGCAGGAGCAGCGCGAGATGAGGTTGGTCGGCGTCGCCCAAACATACTCCGTGCGTGCGTCGCCCACGAAGGAGCGACGTGGGCGCTCGGACATCTCATGCTACACGCCCTGCGGCGGGCGCTCTCCGGCCATACCGCCCGGGCAACGGCATGCTGCAAGAGGGCGATTTGGTCGAACGCACGCCTCCAAGGAGGACGCATGCAGTCAAGATGCCGAAACACGAGCCGGTGTGGGTTCGGAAGGGGCTCGCTGTTCCTGAGGTCATTCCGTGCTTGTTCCTCTAGTTCTCCTCGTGCACCCAGGCGGTGCTGGCGCCAAAAGGGGGCCTCGCTTCTTGTTGGGCGTGCCTTTGTCAGCAGCCCTTCTGCAGTACCAGAG